GCTTCAAGCAGCAGACCCTGATCTGTGATTTATTTACCAGAGGCAACTACATGGCAATAATAAACCATCTATGACAGAGTTGAAGGATCATTCCTTGGCGACGCGCTGTCTGTGTGCCAAGTGGAGCAGTCCAAGATTGTATGAAGACACGTTATTTATAGTCAGCGAATCAAAACAGCCACTATTGATAGTACCACGTGTACAGGTTCAGAATATTATGGAGCAGGTACACCGAGAACTGGGGCACTCAGGAAAACGGAAGACTGAACATGCTATCTGCCAGAGGTTTTGGTGGCCATCCATACATGAAGACGTTGCCGAATTCTGCAAAAATTGTAGCACGTGCTATGCTGTCAAGTCACCCCGACAAATACCTCGTGCAACCTTAGTTCCAATGACGACAGAAGGTCCGCATCAGCGAGTTGGCATCGATATTATGCTCTGGTACGGCCGAGAGTGGGGAGAGTACGCTCTCCCTCTCGAAATACTCTCACACGGCCGCGCGTATACAGCCTCTGTCAGGGAAGTCCTACTCATTGCCTTATCGTGGCGGGGGTGTTGTTTACGAAATTGAGAGGACGAAAAGCGAATGTCCGGCGCTTTAACCGGATTCCAAACCAATGGTGCACATGGGCTCCAGTATCCTGCGGGAACAAATGGCGTATGAACCAATTGTTGGTCACCGGCTACCATGGGATTGCATCTCCTTACGATGCTCCACTGCCTTGTGGGTTAGACCTTTAAGTCAAAGGCTCGGGGAGTGGCTCCCTAAGACAACTACCTGCTTCGGTTTGGGCACCCGGGCAGTATCACAGCCCACACACAAATGATGAACTCTCTATGTCTATGGAAACTACTTTTCTCGCTTCGAAAAACAATCAATTGATTGAAATTATTATCATTACTATTATTGTCATTATTATTATTATTTTCCACATTATTCACCCTCCTTTATACTTATACAGCGGCTCGTCTTTGGTGGAAATTCGACTGTATCTAAACGTTCTCGAGTCACTGTCCGGTTGAAAATTGTATGTTACCACCGAATACGAGGACTGAAGCAGTTTTTCTGAAAACACGTGCACCATTCAAACTGGCTGCCTTCAACGTTCGCACACTTATGCAGGTTGGTCAACAGATAGGGCTGGCTATGTCTTTGGAAAGTCTTCATGTCGATGTCTGCTGTTTTTCGAAGGGCAGTTCAACTGGCCTGCTGCTCCAGCAACATCGGTCAGACTGTCCTGCCCTCCATGGTCGGTGACGACTGCTCCACCAAACGGTGAGGAAGTCCGCAAGGAACTCCAACTCTTAAAGCGTTACAAATCACCTGGCACAGATGACTTACCTCCGGCTCTTTTTAAAGATGGTGGTGACTTTTTGACTAAGGAATTGACGACGTTGTTTACAAAGGTTTGGATGTTAGATAGTGTACCAACGTCATGGAATGAGTCGATAGTTGTCCCTATCTTTAAAAAGGGTTCACGTCGTTCCTGTAACAACTATCGGGGGATAAGTCTACTTCCGATTGCGTCCAAGCTATTGGCTTCCGTCATACTTCGTAGGTTGTTCAAAACCCGAGAAAGATTGACTCGGGAGGAGCGGGCTGGCTTTCGTTCTGGTCGAGGATGTATTGATCACATATTCACCCTCCTCCAAATGTTAGAACACCGCCATACTAATCAAAGGCCAACAATCGTAGTGTTTCTTGACATCAGGGCTGCCTTCGATTCGTTGGATAGGACTGTTCTCTGGGATTGTCTATTGAAGAAGGGTGTGCCTGAGAAGTTTATTAACATCCTGTACTCACCCTGGATGGTGAGCAGATAGAAGTAGTCGAGAAGTTCGTGTATCTGGGTAGCTGCATAAGTGCTGGTGGGGGTGTGAGTGATGAGATCAATGCACGTATAGTGAAAGCCAGAGCGGCTTATGCCAATCTGGGCCATCTATGGCGCCTTCGTGATGTTAGTCTGGCCGTAAAAGGTCGGATTTACAACGCGTCGGTGAGAGCAGTTTTGCTCTATGCTTGTGAAACCTAGTCTCTCCGAGTTGAGGACGTTAGACGACTCTCTGTGTTCGATCATCGCTGTCTCCGAAGGATTGCTGACATCCAGTGGCAACACCATGTCAGTAATGCAGAGGTTCGGCATCGTGTGTTCGGGCACAGAGATGATAACTCAATTGGTGTCACCATCTTGAAACACCGACTTCGGTGGCTTGGACATGTTCTCCGAATGTCGTCCCAGAGAATTCCACGTCGTGCATTATTTGCCCACTCTGGGACTGGTTGGAAGAAGCGGAGAGGTGGTCAGTGCATGACATGGTGTCGTGGTATGAAAGAAAGCTGCAAAGGACTGGCTTGTGTTGGTCCTTCACGACTCCCTGGTTGGGGTCTGAGAGATGGTGCTACACAGTGGCTAGAGACGTTATCAGATATGGCTCAGAATAGAAGCCAGTGGTGGTCCTGCTGTAACCTTCTTTTACTTTCTTCATAAAAAGTGGTTGTGTCTCTCTTACCTGAAAGATTTTTTCCGATTGCACCTTTCCGTTCCCTCATTACTATCACACTACCTTACACCAATTTCTTCGTCATTGTTCTCTTGTTTTTTGCGCTCCTTAGCTTTTTTTTCTATTTCTCTTCGAATTCTCATTGTTTTGTGTGGCGCATATATATTGGCGCTCTCTTGTACCAATATTCATGTGTTCAAATAAATAAATAAATAATCAGGGAACGAAAACTGTTATATCCTAGTTATGGTAGACTATTTCAGCAAAAGCTGTGAAGCTGTTCCTATACCACAACAAGATGCCCTCACAGTTACTCGTGCTTTCATTGATCATTGGGTATCTCGGTACGGCGCTCCCCTTTCACTCCATTCTGACCAAGGTTCAGCTTTTGAAAGTCATCTCGTCGCTCAGGTATGTCGATTATTGGGAATCCGAAAAGCGCACACTACCGCATACTATCCAGAAGGTAACGGCTTGGTGGAGAGAACCAACAGGATTATCAAAACTCTCTTACAGTCGTTTATCAATAAGTCGTCGACGGAATGTAGGGATGACATGATACCACAATGTCTGTTAGCTTACCACGCATCAGTGCACGGATCTACGGAATTTTACCCGCGACCCTACTTTTTGGACATGAATTGCGCCTACCCGTTGAGCTGAGAATACCGTTGTTACTATGCGAGGCCCAAGATCATGTTGAAGATGACACAGGTATTCAGTGTTTGACAACGCTTCTACCAGTAACACCTTCTAATATGATTTGTACCCACCGAGAGAAATCAAAAGACAGAGTCGAGGAGATCGGAAGAGTGTATTTGGCGATTACCAATAAATCGGAATTCTCTGATCTAATCTGGCTAGCGATTGTGGTAGATGTTGAGCACAGCGTTACCACACGTGATCTGGTGCGGATGCCTGACCGAGCGCCTTCAACTAGATGAATCCACTAAAACATATGGTCAGCATCTAATGCCGAAAACGTAGAGCTATTTATTTTGGGGATTTATTTACCGCTATAATGTAGTATACATCTGTAACCTTCGCAACCACCTAGCCGACGCCTATAGCTTAGTGAAGATCAACTTACAAAATGCCAGCAAGCACCAGAAGGATGTGTCCGATCGCAAGACGAACGGACCTGTGTATAAACTCGGAGATCGCGTGTGGCTGCACCGCCCTTTGGCTCCACCGGGGACATGTAGCAAGTTCCATCACCCTTAGCAAGGACCTTATGAAGTGGTGTTTACGCGGTCCCCCACTACATTCGTCTCACGTAACCTCCAACGACCCCAAGACGATGTTATAACAGCACACTACAATCAATTGAAGCCCGATAGAACAACGGTGCACTTAGATACCCCGCACGTCAACCCCCCGACTGCCGTCAGCCATTACGAATTGCCACCAGAGGGAGGGGTAGCATACCCATGTCCAGCACCAGGCACTGAGGACAGTGCCTCATGGAAAGAGGGGGTAGTGTAGCAGTATCAAAACCATTACGTGTGACTTTACTAATGCAAGTTTGTTTTCCTTGTTTCACGGCAACAGAAAGTGAACGTACTAGAAGAAGAAGAACAAGCCTTGCGCAAGTTAAGCCTGCGGGATAATGAGTAAAACCATTTTGTAATAGACTTCCCGTTTTTGTACTTAAACCGCGTAATTCAATTTTAAAGTATATCTATGCTGTGCTCGTACGCCGTGTTATCACTTGAGTAGCATCTGTCGGTTCTGACTGTTGTGTTGTGTTTCAGATCGCTTCTGCTCGCAGACCAACGCTAATAGTACGTGCTACAGTGCTAACGTACGATCGGTTCACAGGTAATTTTGTACAAAACGTGATAAGTAAGCGGCTATAACAAAAAACGGCAAGATTATAATTTGTGGACGAATCAATCAGGTAAAAGATAATAGATCTCGGATTTTAACGCGAAAGCATTTCATCCATATGGCTATAGCCATATTTATAAATAAAATTTCTGGCAATATAGCTAATGTCAGTTCGTGATAAAAACTCCATATATAATTCCTAGGCAAACTACGACAATTATTGCGAACTGGATAATAAAAGCACCAGTAACACTGGATGCAGTCAGGTACTACAATATATACGGATGATTGGAGAGCTTACAGACTCCCACATAGGCTTGGTTATGTGCATCGTGTCGTTATCCACAACTAGCATTTGGTGCACTCATCAACCTGTATGCACATAAACAATATTGAAGCTGTGACCGAGGCTGAAAGTTTTTAAAACTTCATGACTCCAGAGGCCGACTATTCTGTAGCCGTATGGATGATTCCCTTTACTGCATGCATTACGATTTTAGAACCTCCGAACCTTTTTCTAACCTTGACAAGTTTTCGAACCATGTATAAGAAGTGTATCCACTTTATTTCCTTGGTTTTGTATAACATATTTTTACTCTATACTGACTGTCTGGTGATTGGCTAATATTTCTCAAGGTCGCTGAAGTTCCGTTCAAAGGTCGTCCATAAATTAGAGTCTCGCCATTCCGGGAGAAGTGGGTCCTTTGGTTTTGGCAAACCAAATTACTCATGTTAAGTCAATGTATAATTTTTTTGTCTCATGTTGCTACTTGCTTATTTTCTATCGTCTGCTTTTTAAGTAGCTGATATCGTGCAAAATGTTCTTAGGGTATTGTAAGAGTTTTATCTTAACATAGATATTGGTACAAGGAGGCACCAAATACATATGCGCCACACAAATCTCATTCGATATGTGTGAGGGCTGTGATACTGCCTGGGTGCCCAAACCGGAGCAGGTGGTTTTCTTAGAGAGCCACACCCCGAACCTTTGACCTGCAGGTCTGATACACAAGGCAGTGGAGCATCGTGAGGAGATGCAGTCCCATGGTAGCCGGTGACCAACAATTGGTTCATACGTCATTTGTTCCCTCAGGATACTGGAGCCCATGTGCACCATTGGTTTGGAATCCGGTTAAAGCGCCGGACATTCGCTTTTCGTCCTCTCAATTTCGTAAACAACACCCCCGCCACGATAAGGCAATGAGTAGGACTTCCCTGGCAGAGGCTGTATACGCGTGGCGATGTGAGAGTATTTCGAGAGGGAGAGCGTACTCTCCCCACTCTCGGCCGTACCAGGGCATTTGGGGGCTGTTGTTCAAATCAGCCTCCGTGCTGTAGCGTTACTGATATTCTCAACTTTTAAGTGTTTTGACCGCATGGAGTATAAAGTTTTAAACTTTAAATTTTTAAAACTGTCATTGGCCAAGTGTTTGTCAACCGTGCATAAAAGACTGGTATAAAATAACGTATTCTTTTATATTTAATTGACTTGTTATGCTATACGTGGATGCTTCTCATATGTGTCTCATGCACTTGTATCGACAAACTGATAGGTGTTAGAGTGGTGGCTTTATTGAAATACTAATAAGTGTTTCAGCGTAACTAGTAACTTTCTCCGATATTTGCATACGGTCTCTGTTTATCACTATGTAGGTGACCAGTACTTGAGAACAAGAAAATATGGTCGTTGAGGTCAACATCGTTTTCCATGTTTAGAAAATATTGACTTATCAAATTCAATGTGCACTAACACTCCTACATAGAAACAAATGTAGACCAGTTTTTTTGGTTTTTCAACGCTTTCCATCAATATAACACCTTAGTATTTTCAAAAACGAAGAATATTTGAGCGAACAATTGTTTTCAATAACTTCATCATCAGGCTCTACAGTTATAAGTCCATAATTATAATATTTTACAAAGGCCAAAAATAAGGCATGTTTTAATGAGTTTGACAATGTTATGTGTTAAAAAATTGGTGAGCGTTTGCATCTGTTACGATATATATATATATACTTCAAAAATTGTAATATTTGCAAATTAGAAAGGTCATTTGTAGTAGGATAATTACGAATTTCCTTGTTATTTTAGCATTCCGGGAATCAGCCTTTCAAAAGTCATTTCAACTGTTTGTCCTAATCTTCTTACACTTTGGTAAGCCGTAACTAATCCCAATGAGTATGGATTACAGAGATTACCATTCCAACTGATCAATCGAAATTATCATGTGGCGAACCATCCATGTTTGGTGGTCTTGTGTTCTTGGTCCATCTCTCTATAGTGTTCCACTAATTGCAACATTTCAAGTATTTCTACTTTTTTTCATAATTATTTAGTCGATGGAATATAATCCCAATTTTTTGGAATCGGCATCTAACTGTGCTATAAAAATGCTTCAAATAACGGCAGGAGTGATTAAATGGACTGCTCTTTTTTGGAGTCCCTGGGCATTTAGAAATCGTATGCTTACTTATAAATAATCTAATTATTACTTCATAGTGAAATTATATGATGATTTTTTCGAATTCTCTAGATTAGTTGCTGTTACACTTACTATATATTTTTCGGCCCTTTTACTTAGAGGTTAGAGCGTTTGATTCGGTTAACGTTTGCAGGAACTGGAAGGTTTTGTAATCATACTTATCAGGAGTTTATGGCTTTATTTTTGGAATCTAAGGAGACGATCAATGAGGAGACGGTGGTAATATATTTTAGTATCCTAAATAAGTGTTGCAGAATAAACTAATGCTCTACACTTTTAGTTCTCCGTGGCCTGTTCATTTTGATGTCCGGCAGTTACCTAGTATCTCCGTAAAACCAAAAAAGATCACTCCTAAACGCATATCAGATGTATCCACATTATTTATGCCATTGGTGTAAGTCCTTTTATTTTATTTCTAAATGTTTTGATGTTACTGACCTCGAAATTGTATTGGACCTCATGACTTGAAAACAGGCTTCTGCTTGTATTTTAGCCCGCTTTGCAACTACGTTATTATTATTATTATTATTATTATTATTATTATTATTATTATTATTATTATTATTATTATTAATGGCTTTATTCAATATTATATTTTGGTACTGTACAGAAAGTTATAAAAATCATTTATTGGTTTGACTTGAAATATTGGTTTATTAGTTATCATATACATTAGTAGAAGCTATATTAATCGTCTGAAACAAATCCTATTGGCTTGTATTATTTGTGAATAAGTAGGCTAATATAAAGTAAAATAAAACATCATTTATTTTATTAGTAGTATTTTGAACAATTTGTCATACCAATGAAATCACATCCTTACAACTTTTTAGTTCTGATTATTTATATACCATCGTTTCAGTGTTGCCAAGACTTTCCTGGCTTTTTATTATATGTTGGACATAATCTGTTGAGTGTGTTGCGTATACTTGACTAACAAAGCTTCGTATTTTCGTATCTTCTGTATTGTCTTCGTTTTATTTCCTATCTAACGGTAACTAATTTTCTGTGACCGCTCTTTAATACTTAGCAGACCATCCTGTTAGTATTACAGTATAAATATAAATCCGTTTGCTTTTAGCTACATATATTGTATCATCTATATATTTAAACAATGACCTTTTTCTTAAATATGTCAGGGACGGTTGAAAATTTTAGGGATTTTGGACTAAATCTGTCAGTAAGAGATTAATGAAATGTTACTCTTTACTGGTTTTTACGTTTTGATTTCGTGTCGATAAGACGTGTAGTACTAGCTTATTCATTCAATATTTTAATATTTCAAGTTATTGGCTATCGGTAGAATATAAGGGTGGGTGAAAAATTCTAGAACTTCCCAATCCTGACTACAGTTTGAGTAATTATAATTTCAGTTGCTGAGATTATTTAAATCTGGTTTTTATGTATTTTGTACTCTATATAATAGGTGCTTAATTTTTGTAAAACTTTCACATTTCGCCAATTGTTCATGTAAATTTTTGTTATGTTGTCCGTAGTTGGATTATAGCTCACACTATTGGTATCCGTATGACATATGTCGGATGTACATGGATTTTAAATTCTCTTACATGTAAGTCAAGTGTGAAAGTTCCCAACTTTTTCCTTAAGGTTTTACTATTTTGATCATATCGCAATATGAATACACAAATAAATATCATACAAAATATCACATACTATACTTTAATTTCGGTTACTAAATTCTTTTCCTACTTCATTACTCTCAGTTTATTTTACGAAATGCGTAAAAATTCTGTCAATAATCTAAAATGTCGCAATGCATATTTTAACTCTTCAGGAGGCTAAGTTTGTGTCTTTTCAATCACAAAGCCTACCTATTTGCTATTTTTATAATCAAGGAGACTTAAGTTGTCATTGCGTGAAATTAACCAATACATATATCAGTACATTCTTTTTGATTTATCCGAAAATCATTTAATTGTGATGTCATATGTACCAATGAAGTTTGTTTTTATGCTTTGCTTGTTGCTTTAATAGTCGAAGTAGTCAAATAGTAGTGTGAGTGATTACAGTGGTCTTGAGTGCTGTTAGAGGTATGAGGGCGGTTTTCACTTCCCGGTTGCCCACACCGTGGAAGGGTTGTTCTGGAGGTACCTGAAAAGGAATTTGGATTAAAGGTGGTCTTAGTGACCTGAGAGCGTGACCGCAGTGCCCAAGGGACAACTGCTTGAGGTCGGTCACACACGACCTTGTTATGGGTAATTTTTGTGTTAGCTCCGTACTTATTGGGACCTTACCGCCGGAGACGGATATCCGTGGGATAAGGCGAGGTGTGCATTTTTAGGGTCGACCTTTTCTAACCCCACCCCTCCTTGTGGGAAGGCAGCATCGCTGTCATGCTGGTTGTCTGAAGGAAACACCTTACTGCTGTCACACCTCTGTACAGTCAGCAGTACGACTTCGCCTTCGGACCTTGGGTTTGTTGCTTTTAGTCTTACCGCTCTTCAACCGACCTGTCTGACATGGTAGGACCTTGAGGAACGGTTGTTCCAGCCAGTATAGCTCGGTTGCTTCATCACGATAGGCAAGCCCGACCACCACGTCAAGGTAGCAACAACGGTCGGTCATTGAAAGGCGTACCTCAGAAGTACATAAACCTTGTGAAGGCTCTTTACTCGAACACTACTAGTCGAGTCAGAGCTTATGGCGAACTGTCATCTACTTTTGCAACCTCAAGTGGTGTCCGTCAAGGCTGTCCACTTTCTCCATTTTTGTTTAACTTCATCATAGACCTATTGATGGAAATAACACTCTCGTCGACTGAATTCTCGGGTATTGATCTCCTTCCAGGAGGTCCACTTATCGACTTAGAATACGCAGATGACATAGTCCTATTTGGTGAAGACGCTGACAAAATGCAGAGTCTTCTGGTAGCACTAAGCAACAATGCCAGAATGTTTGGGATGCGCTTCTCTCCCTCTAAATGCAAGTTGTTGCTTCAGGACTGGTCTGCGTCAACACCTGAACTAAGGATAGGGAGTGAAGTAGTCGAACGCGTTGATAACTTCACTTATCTTGGAAGTCTGATCAGCCCTAATGGGTTGGTATCGGACGAAATCTCAGCACGGATTCGAAAAGCTCGCTTGGCTTTTGCCAACTTGCGTCACCTTTGGCGAAGGCGAGATATCCGTCTATCAATAAAAGGACGAGTATACTGCGCGGCAGTTCGTTCTGTTTTAATTTACGGCAGCGAAACATGGCTCTTAAGAGTAGAAGACACCCGTAAGCTACTAGTATTTGACCACAGATGCCTTAGAAATATTGCTGGCATCTGCTGGGATCACCGGGTAAGTAATAGTGAGGTTAGACGCAGGGTATTAGGGAATGATGGTAAATCAGTTGATGAGGTTATGAATTTTCATCGACTGAGATGGTTGGGCCACGTATTACGTATGCCTGAACACCGATTACCACGACGTGCAATGCTAACCGGGGTAGGGGATGGTTGGAAGAAAGTTAGGGGCGGTCAAACCAAAACGTGGCATCAGTGCCTGAAGTCACTAACTTCTAGTCTGAGCCATGTTGGTAGATGCAGACTACTTGGTTGGGGTCCGCGTGACTATCGTAATCAATGGTTGGAGACTCTTGGTGACATGGCTCAGAATCGATCACAATGGCGTCGGTGTATACACTCCCTGTCTTCCCTTAAACTAAGAGACTAAAATCACTTCATTCTTTCTGTCTACGAACTAATTCTTTCTTCCTATACTATATCCTTATTGCAACCTTTGACCTAACCACTCCTATGAATCCGGTGTTCATCTTGCTGTGCTAATGAGGTATGGCAACCTGGACCGATGCACATATGTGCCTGGTCCTACGTTGTAGCTGACTGACTGACTGACTGTGAGTGATTACTTTCAGAAAGACTCATCGACCCAGAGTATGCCGCTGAAATAGTTCTTTTTAGTGAAAAGGCTGACAAATTCGAAGTCTTCTGAACTCTGAGTAACAATAGATGATATATTTACTATGGGATTCTTTTTCTCAGAATGTGGAGTTTTGCTTCCGGACCGGTCTGTGTCGGCACCTGCTCTTACCATAGAAAATGAGGCTGTTGAATGCGTTGATAACTTCACTAGTCTTGGAGGTTTTATCGACCGTAATGTGCCTGTAGTTGATGAAAATACGGCATATATATAAATAGTTTGTTCGGTTTTTGTTAACCTACAGAAATTACAGTAGAGGTAGATTTGTGTCTGCTTATCCAAGGGCGAGTATATTGAGCAAGATTCCAGTGTTTTGCTTTGTAACAATAAAACAACTGATAAAAGTAGAAGATATAGATAGGTTACACTTGTTTTATTATAGTCGTTTTTGAAGCATTTCTTGTGTGTGCTTGGATTACGTGATGAGCGATACTGAAGTTATGCTCGGGGTTATAAGTAGGACTAGTTAGCCTTCATCGACATTGGTTGTGTGTTCATCTCCTTCATATAACCTCCCCTAACCTATTGCGACGCCAAATAATTGCTGGTGTAAAAGCAAGTTAAGTCTGGAGGCTACGAAACTATTATGTGGCGTCAGTCGGTGAATTGATTAGCCGTTAGTTTGAGCAGTATGGAGAGACACCAACTTTGTGTTTGGGGTTTAAGTGATAACAGTAATTTTTGTCTGAAGATCCTAGGTAGTTACTTAAAAAATACTAAGAAATGATGAAGAGACTTGGTTGTGAATAAGAGGATCTTTAGTGGTTACAGGTTTGGGAATGGTTTCCTCTTGCTGGATGTACTTTCTGTGGAAACTGAAAAATAAACTGAATTTGTAGTGGTTGTACCTACGTGATGTTGTGACCACAGACCCAAAGAACAACTGCATGAGGCCATTCACACGGGATTTTTGTATCAGGTTATCGACCTGTTAGCCTTGTGCTCGATGAGGCTTGCTCCAGAAGGCGGAAATCTGTAGGGCAAGGTGAGGCTTGGAATCTTTAGAGCCGAGCTATTCTAACCCCTTCTTTTCTTTGTGAGAGGACAGCTTCGCTGCAGATTTTGGTCGTCTGAGAGAAACACTTTACTGCTGTCACGCTTCTATCCAGTTAACAGTACGACATTTCCCTCGAGTTTTGAGGTAGCGTGGGTTAAAAACCGTCAGAGTGGTACAGATGTGTTCATTCTTTGATTTCATTCGTTCATTTCGAACTATATTCTGTGTTCTGTTTGTCGCCCTTATTCATACTATAATTATTTTAACTTTTTGACGTTCGATTTGTTAGCTACCTCTCTCTTTCTGGATATAAAGTGTGACAATTTAGGCTAATACATCTTTGTGCCATCCCATACGTTGTTCAGGATCAACTTTAGTGTTATTTTCATTGATTATAACCTTTTCAAGCCAATAGCTTTGATAACTAAGTCATTTCCGATTGCTAACATCAGTTCTTCCATTTTCGTTGCTTTTGTTACGTATTAGTGTTCACGCTATTGGTATGTTTGAAATTTTCTAACCCTTCCCCAAAGGAGAAAGATAAGATAGTTGGGTGTGCTCAGAGGTTATATCAGAAATACTGTAATTGACATCACAACTGCTGGTGTTTTTATCAGTTTTACGGTTTCTTCAAGCTTCATTACGATTTAAAATACTTTCATGTTAACAGCACCTGCTTTTATTTCTACCACTTGAACAGGCTCTTTTCTACATGCCTAGATTTTATAGAGTAAGCATTCCAACTACCATTTCCAAGATGAGTCATCACGACAAACAAGCCTAATCACTAAGCCTACGTCGTAGCTAGTATTTCTTTGACCAGTTTGGGTTCAAATTCCATTCAGCTGTTTTCATTTCAACTTCAGTGTTACACAACGGTATTTATTTCTATCACTATGATATAGTGATATTTGTTAATAAGACGATCTTTATTAAGTATTTGTCTGTCAGTTGACTCATTATCATAGTTTTCTAGATATATTTTTAAAACAGCAGTAGATATCTGAAGCCTTTTATCGACTTTGTCTTGGTTTTTTGTCTAACTTTACGATGTGTGGTAGTGAGAGTAAAATATGATCGATCACTGAGCCTGGACCAAGTCACTTAGCCCACTGACTTAAATATGTGGTTTCCTTTCCTCTCATTGATTTCTCCTCCGGACCCATTAACTATTACTGATTGTAACTGTGTTAAATGATGTATTATCTAATGTTAATCTGGTTCTCTATTCTTGGTTATGAATCCTTGATCTGATATGATGTGACTAGTCTTATTATCGTATTAACGTATTATTGTAGTATGCCTGAGAGTGATAAAAATGTTTTAAACCATTCCTTATATAACTTGTATTTTTGTCCTAAGTTAGCATTCAGGTCGATGATAATACATTATTGTTATGTTCCTTATGAGCGTAAATGTTTTTAATTACTTTAGCTTTTGAGAAAACAGTAATGACGTGTATTTACTATAACAGTAAATAATAGTAATGATAAAACGATGTTTTATTAATGTGTTGTCTACTACACATAAACTTTTCTTCTATACTTTTTAACAACAGTTAAAGCTCGATTAGATGCTCGAAGTAGATTACAAATGAAGGTAAATATTTTATTTTAGTGTAAATATTTCACACTGCCTTAACTCTATAGTTATTTTTGGCTTCTTGAATTTGCCTTTACTGTAGTCAGTTAAAGCTTATTTTTACTAGCGAAATTTGTATTTTGAATTCAGCAATATGTATCTTAGTAATCTGCTAGTAAAATGTGGACAAAAAATAAAAAAGTAAATATCAAAACAATACAATAAAATAAATTTTTGTTTACTTTCTGACTACTACAGCAATTCAAAGTGATCGTTGAAGTTCTTGTCTAACTGTAGTCCAAAATCTATCCGTTTGGCAAGTGTTAAGTATCATTTGGCTTTAGTCTTATAATTTTCCATGGTTCCAAGTATCTTTTTTTATCTATACAAGAGCTGGGGTTGCTACTACATTAGATTAACATCTACATTGTTTTGTATTGACAGTAGTGTCGGTATTACTGGAAGTCTAATTGCTTTTGGGTTCTTACATCCTAATGAGTAGTTTTTTGTTACATTTGATGGGGTATATGTGATTCACACCTGAGTAGTAGCATTTCTTTTACCATTTATTCAACCTACTTCTGGATATTTTCGTTTATTACCGGCAACACGAGCTTTCATAGTAATTAGAGTTTTCGAAAATCTAAATACTTTCAAATATATTTTATAAGTTAGGTTATTTCATTTACCGATGATGTTTTTATGGGTCTAGTTGGTTTAACAAACTGAAGTGAGCGAAACCTTAGGTAGGGAAAACCAGTTTATTGTTTAACGGAAAATCACTCAGCAGCTTAGTAAAATATGAAAATCATACATTAAATACATCGTTTGCACATCTTTCCGTTATGCCTTACATACTCCATTATTCCTCTAATTATGTTGTTATTTGGATTGCTCTCAGATTTCCTTCCTGTTATCTTCATAACAATCTTTAGCTTCCAGATATTTCACTTCCGATTAGTGTTCGATACTACTTATGTCTCTCAACGTAAGTAGCATACACTCAGTCAGTTAGTCTGAGTACTGAAAAGATTTAGGTGATGGAACTAATGATTGTTTATAGTGCCGATTCCCAATTCCTAAATAGATAGTTCTCAAGGGATAGGGCTACTATCCGACTGTTTATGTGACATATGTCTGGTTTTCAACCAGTTACAAACACTATCAAATCCATTCTGATCTTATTGCTTTACTGTAGAGTATATGCCATTTGAATGAGTATATGTTGTATTTATTTCACATATCTTTTCATCATTTGTTGCAATATTTCTTCTACAAATAGTCCATTTGTTCACATTTTCAAAATATTTACCAGTATAATATTCAACGAGTCGGACTATCAACTAGAGAAGGGGAATTCGTTGAAGCATTTTATGCTGATCGTCGAATCAAGTCAAGTTCAAAATCTATTTCACCTGAACAAGATGATTTGAATGGAGAGATTTTAGTAAGATAATTGATACCGTTTGTTTAGTTCTATGAATTTTTAGTTAACGTTGGTTGTATTATTTTAGCATACCTTTAGCGTAAAATCCTTATATTATGACCACATACTAATTTTTCTACGTTTCGACTATAGAATTTCAATTTAACAACAGTAATTTGTGGAAATAAGAGTCACAAACGGTTCCTAAGTAAAGTAAACATGGGTTGTATGTTCAAGAGAATTTCCTAATGATATACGTCGTCTGTCCTATAAATATGCGACGAATCAGCATCAAATTTTTAATGAAATTTAGATATTTCTCTTATCAAATTCACGTAATGTTTAAGGGTGCCTATAAAATAAGCCACTGAAGAAAGCAAAGTTTCTCAAGTCAATTGAACTTTTTAGCGACCGTTGTAATGATTGGATGTTCAGAATGACTATTAATCCCAACTTCACTGTTCGAACTATTGATGAACTGAATTTCGAAAAATTGTCTATATACACAGTTCTAGTAAACCATTTGTAACCGACAAATTTATTTGCAAAACTTGAGATAGCGAAGTATCTGAAGAGCTTGATTTCTGAGGGTTTCCACGGACATTTCCAACAATTAAAATAAAGCACTGTAATATTGTCACAAATTTTTATTTTGAAGGTTGATCAAAATTATGTACTCTAATATTCGTAAAGTTTTTGTGACGTTATTTTGTATATTTATTACAATGACTTATTTTATGCTGGATACGTACATTAACTTTTTCAATCTGCGATAATTGACTGTGACAAAGATTATCGATGAGATGTATCGTGACACTAAACTGCGTGCTTATATTCTATTCGTTATCCCTAAAAGGATATCAAATGATTCCAGAGTAAACGATCAACGGTCATCAGAAATGCCCATTCAGATAAGCAAACAATTCGAATCGTCAAGTTAGTTTGCTCAACAACTATTCACACTAGAAAGCTTAGTGGAGATTGTATATTAAATCCAGTTTTATTTTTGAAATCATGAACGGATCTAAGACGACCATCAACAATCTGCAAGCATTGGACGACCGTTTCGTCCTGATGTGAGACTCCTCAGCAGTGTCCATCAGCAACGTCGCACGCGAGAATCGGACCCAGTATCTTCAGTCTTGCATCCAAACGCCTAACCTGTAGGCCGTTGAGCCAGGATGTCTAATTTCAATCAACCAATAGTATTGCGCGACCATCTTCCACTACCTTCTGTGGATAGCTAACTCACACCTAACACGGTCTAGCTCCACTGATCATGGCTTCTCACTAGATTCCGGAAATTTCTTTTCGAAGCTGACTGGTTGATTGAAATTAGATATCCTGGCTCAACGGCCAGGTTAGGCGTTTGGATGCAAGACTGAAGATACTGGGTCCGATTCTCGCGTGCGACGTTGCTGATGGACACTGCTGAGGAGTCTCATACCAAGACGAAACGGTCGTCCAATGCTTGCAGATTGTTGATGATCGTCTTAGATCCTTTCGTGATTTAAGTAAAATTCAAAAATCTTGTTGTAACGGGTGGACTGCAGGTTAGATGCACAGCGTATTTATCGATCGCTTCTGTGACAAGTAAAACACGTAAGGACGACCTAGAGTCCCGATTGGTCCCGCTTCCCTGTCTAGCCCAGCCAGTTGAGTCTAGAACGCAAGTCACAGCCTCTGAGTTATGAATCGTTATATTTCAAACATACTCTGTTTATATACCAACCAAACAGACCACATCGTACCATGAAAATAGAAAACAACATCTGTACAATATTTAACGAGTGAAATAAATAATTGCCAATAGGGACTGCCCATTTAGAGTCCAAGGACATCATTAGACTTAACATGATAATGATTGGTATATTCCTCAGCATACCTAACAAATCTCGACCACCCCGTGCTAACAGTTTTATATATTCGGATTTAAGCCATACAGTTTGTGTGAGTGCTAGTGATATTACTCGGCTGTAGGTAAAGAGGAGTTTGTGAACGATAACTACTTGAAGAAAACTACTATAGTATTCAGTATATTTCACCACTGGTAATTTGATAATAAAATAGGAAAGTTTTTGATTTATGGTCTTGAAACATTGTTTTGGGTTTGTTAAGTTATCTACATCTTTCTTACGATCATGGGAATGCGAAAGTGATAGGTTATTTTTGTTTGAGAAATAATTTCCACGTATTTGAAGATCCTAATCTGTCATCTAATTGTACTTCAAATTTATTTATCTATTTATTTGTTTGAACACAAACATTGGCACAAGAGGGCACCGAATGTATGTGCGCCACACAAAAACAATGAGGCCAATAGCAGTTATCATTGATTTTTGTGGGGGCTGTGATAATGCCCGGGCGCCCAAACCGAGGCAGTTGGTTTTCTTAGGGAAGCACTTCTCGAGCCTTTGACCTACAGGTCTAATCCACAAGTTAGTGGGGCAACGTTAGGAGATGCAGTCCCATGGTAGACAGTGACCAACAGTATGTTTATACACCATTTGTCCCCTCAGGATCCTAGAGCCCATGTTCACCATTAGTTTGGAATCAGGGTTTCCCAATTCGTTTAGATGAATCCTCCGTGTCCACCAACCGGTTTCAAGAGTCGGACATTCGCTTTTCGTGTTGTTAATTTCGTAAAGAACACCGGCGCCACGTGAAGGCAGTGAGTAGGACTTCGGTGGCAGTAGCTGTATACATGTGTCCATTTGAGAGCATTTCGAGAGGGAAAGCCGACTCCCCATCCTCGTCCGTACCAGGGCGTTTGGAGGGGGGGCAATTGTAGTTAAAAAGATTTAAATCTTTAGCTTCTCACGAACTCTTCACCTTTTCATATTATGTACGAATTTCGGTACCATAGTTCGGTCCACTGTCAAGCTTCTGGCTAGATAATTTGGTGTTATGTAACTGAAGCATGATATCATTGAAATAGTTTTCCCTGGTTATGCTAGTGAACAGAATTAGGAGAATTTCTAGGTGCTTTGAATTATACTTCAGATCCTTTATGTTTCTTGCCATGATTTTACGTGTGATTTCGAATTAATCTACTGATTAGTAGGGTTATTGATAGTGTTTTCGAATATATTCTGATATAAGGTTGCTTTGGTGGAACATAATAAGCTCCTCAAACCTACTATTTCGATTGATCGGCTTTAATCTGGAGTTTTACTTTCTGTAGGTACTCTGTTGTGAAGGTAATGGTGGATATCCTGAGATTGGAACTCCTTGGGTTCCACTTGAACGAGGTTATTCAGTTTTAGGATGGAATCATCCTGGTTTCGGAGAAAGCACGGTAATACATTTGTTTTGATGTTTATTTGTTTATTTTCTAAATTTTGGCATGAATCACGTGATCATAATGTATATCTAATTGGCTGAAATACCATGATCACTATTTGCGCATCCCCGATTCAAAGACAAATTGAGGTAAAGGATTGTACAGTTTACAAACTTGGTCATTTTATTCACTTCTGACTTACATCTATTTTCTTTCAATATTCTGTTACAGTTAACTGGCTAAATAAAGTGTCATCTCCCTCGTTAATTGAAAATAGTTTGGTCGTACATGTGTAATATTTTTTATCATTCTAACTTAATATCTCACTGACTGGTTGTGTAGATCGGTTCAATTTAGAAGTGTTTTTTGCCATGAGCAAACATGAGTCGGAGAATCATTGAAATCGGGGAACAGTGAATGTTACGTTTAATACTCCAGTTTGTGTAGAACGTGTGCTCAATCAGCAGTTTTGAGTACCCTATGCTCCAGTCACCGTAGTTACTAGACGTTCATGTTTTGATTGACTAATTCACTACTCTTATATAGGACTCGAAGGCCATTCACTTGCCAAATTTGAGCCATTATTAAAGTTTTTGGTAATTAACACTGTATTACTCATGTTTTTTCATCCATGTTGATCATGTTATACTACTTCAACAAGGATAACTAAACCCACGTAAGCCGTACACTCCGAGGTTCTTAAACGTCTTAGCCTTTTTAGTGTTGTGATTGAAGTTAGCAAAATTGTACTTCATATAATTTATAGTGAAATTTAATCGTGCACTATACTTTGATGTACTATTATCATGTATTGAGTAAGGATACCATTTTGATTTTTAAATAGAATTAATTAGAGTGGCTTGTCACCTGACGTGTTGAAATTCTAGTACTTCAGTAGTTGGTTCTTCCTTTGATTGTAGTCTTGATAATTATTTCTTAGTTAGAAATACCTCAATATAATGTTCCCCTCTATATCTGGTAACTCTTGTTTTGTATTTTCGCTTATTTTATTTTCATCAATCTTTTAAAGGGGTTACCATTCCCGGAAAAGGAACAGAATGCTGTTGAAGCATGCTTTTTATTTGCTGTACATCGATTACATTTTCAGCCTAATCAAATATTCGTACTTGGGTGGTCGATTGGTGGTTATACAGCATCTTGGATAGCAATGAACTATCCTGATATAGCTGGTTTGGTAAGCTAGTTACATGGTGCCTATATATTGTTTCTTCTACGGTACATGACACTATATAACTTTATTTATCAGTCATAAATTGGTAATTCTACTCCAATTTATTTAAACTCTAACTTTTGATAGTCACTTATGAAGTAGTTACAAGTTGTTCAAGGGATTGTTTTTTGTAATTCTCTAAATTACTAGTGATTGTCCACTTTGCATCTCTTAATAAATTTACCTTATGTTGTAGTATATTTGGATATGTACCTACAGACATATGTATATATGTATTTCTTAGTGACTTCAATTTGAAAACTAATTTGTAACAGGATATATGTATAACTGTTTGATGATACTAATTTATGAATCTTCGTATCCCTCATGACGGGTTGTACGTCGGACTTCACATGCAGTTATATTTTTTGGGAGCAAATGATCTGTTTAGCACATATTCAACTGGTTATACGTTAGAGATTCTCTTTTAGTTTTTAGAAAACTAACTATTATAATTGAGGACACTTCTCAAAATTTTGATAGAAAAATGATTTACGAGGGAATTTGGAAATCCACTTATTTTTTCTATTCCGATTGTACATTGAGCAGATCCTTTCAGTTATAAACGTCATGAGCACCAGCATTCAAACCTATTTAAAACTGTTTCCGTATGTTCTAAGTAAAATAAAACCCAGTCCTTCATCACTGATGTACGACGTATTCACTGTCTGTATGTCTTACATGAAGAATAATCACTCAAACAAAATTGGATGGAGTTGGGTTCGAACTTGCTGCATAGTTTTGAAAGTCGACTAGTTTAACCGTTAAATCACTACTCTGCATAATGGTGATTTTAATAATGGTTTTCTGTAATGCTAACGTTAGTGTCTATCTAAATCTAAAAATCAAGTCGAAAAAGTTGTCTGTTTTTTCCAATTATTTTAAAAATGAGGTTTTGGACGCTACTTTCGATAATATAGATGAACTGTCAAGACGAGTTGCACCATCTATATTTGGTAAGTCGTTCGCTTATTTTGTGTCAACAGTGGATGAAAATAAATGTTACTAATTATTATTACTTATGAGTAGTTTGAAATTTATCTGTGTATATTCGTCGTCAATACATACTGGATTATTTATTTCTCGATGAAAATAACCTTTAGTCTTAAACTTCCTTATAACCATATATATAATATCGAGGAAAGCCATACGTTAATCAGTTCATTATATGTACTATAATGTGATAAATAATTATCATGATCCCGTTAGTAAACGTGTATTCTTAATTTTCTTTAGGATATGAAATGCCCCTTTGTATACATTAGATTATTTATTTATGTTTTTAAGTCCTTTAAACAGACGATGTAAGCTACTCCATCATTATCATATACTAACCTGATGCGATTGTACTGTCTAGAAAATTTTACTGTCATGTCACTTTTTAGCTTCACCAATGTTAGTCAAAAACGGATTAACGATCACGCGTCTGTCGTAGTTCAAACTAGAGGGTCCTTCAGTACGAAATAAATATTCTGTCCTTTGGATTAGTAAGTTTAGGTCGGAAGGGCAATGTTTGTGATCCAGCGAAGCAAGTAATTGAATGAGCCTAAGTTTGATTTTATAATGGTTCATTGCTTCGTACTGTTAATACGTTTTCAGTAAACAAAATAACTATGGAACTTGGTTCAAATAACAGCGAAATAGTGAGTGAAATTCTCAAATAATTGTCAGTTGAGTTTCAAATACATCTATCTTGGCTAGGCTGCTCTACAATTAAGAAGACAAAAGAGCGAGTTTATTATCATTCCGAACGATAATAATACGGTGAAAAAAGCCTGGGTACGTATTAATTTTTTCCACGTGTCAGTGATACTCAACCACTTGGTATTGGAGTTTTAAACTATCAAATCCAACTGTACACACACTTTAAGAATTCAGAATGGTAATTTAAAAAACTTCTTTAAGCCGATTCAGGTCGAGTTCTTGGAAAATAGTGGATTTCCTATCGCTTTATCTTTGGAATTTAATCGTTCCTAGATTTTCATGGGTTCAGGTGCTAGGGTTTCAATGAGCGTTTTCTACTATCAGTTTGTCTTTATAGTCAGGAGAGTTTCCTCTGTGGCTTCGGTACTCAATAGGTTGTTGGGTATTTTCTCTTCTCTAAAGTATCGGGAAGGGCGTTCAAAGGTAATTCACTTTGGACCTTATCTTCAGCTGTTTGTCGAATGCGCAGTGGTAATGGGTTGTCATTTCAAAGTTTACTCGTTGTGATGATGCATTTTTTGGTTCGATCATTTGTTGAATGGCCTGAATGTTTTTCGCACTTCCTCGCTGTCATCAAATTTCTTTTTTTTCAGACCCGGTTTTGGAATCTGTCGTTAAAATGTATCTGGATTTAAACAATTTATCCCATGTGATTAAGTAAGTTTTTATTTGTTTTGTGGTACATCTACAAACTGAATGTTTTCTGTGCTCGACGCTAAGCACACATTTCATAGAAGTTATCTCATGTGCTATTGAGTCCCCTTGACTGAAGTAGGCTTAAAGCTATGTTTTGTTGAAAATCTATGATTGAAAATCAAGTGCTTTAACCACCAAACCATCGTTCTTATTTCATAATTCCTTTATTTTGTCTCCACTCTTTTTTGAGCCTGGTTCGTGGTGGAATAAAAAAGCCATTTATTGAGTCTACTTCTGTGCACAAGCTTATTTAGGATATCACAAATATGATTGCTGAATAATAGGTTTGTGTTTAGTAACTTGTTTGCTAATGGTTTTTTTCCAGTCTGATATTAAAAACACGAAGTTCCGCGAAAGGATCTCTTTTCAAGGAATATATTATCCAATTGTACAATGGTATATATTAGTTCTGTGAGGACATATGAACAAGGAATAAACATGATGATGCAATAGAAAGATTGTAATATCAGATTACGCAATATGAATAATAACAATAAAAGATTGTATATGTGCAAATAGAAAGCCTTGTAAAATTAATAATTTAGCGACGGGTCACAATGTGAATGAAGTAAGATGATTATAATGTTTTTGTAATAATAATTACAACAATTACGAATAATATCATCAGGGTATGAGACATAGTCAGTCAGTCAGCTACAACGTAGGACCAGGCACATATGCATCGGTCCAGATTGTCATACCGCATTAGCACAGCAAGATGAACACCGGATTCATAGGAGTGGTTAGGTCAAAGGTGGTGATATATAGGAGAAAGATTGCGCATAAGGATACAGTACAGGAAGAAAGAATTAATTAGTAGAAAGAAAGGTATGAAGTGATTTCAATCTCTTAGTTTAAGGGAAGACAGGGAGTGTATACACCGACGCCATTGTGATCGATTCTCAACCATGTCACCAAGAGTCTCCAACCATCGGTTACGAAATTCACGCGGACCCCAACCAAGTACTCTGCATCTGCCAACATGGCTCAGACTAGAGGTTAGTGTCTTCAAGCACTGATGCCACGTTTTGGTTTGGCCGCCCTTTATTCTCTTCCAACCATCCCCAACACTAGTCAGTACTGCACGTTCTGGTAATCGGTGTTCAGCGATACGTCAAAAAGTCCCAACCAACTCAGTCGATGAAGATTCACAACCTCATCAACTGATTTACCATCATTCCCTAATACCCTGCGTCGAACCTCACTACTACTTACCCGGTGATCCCAGCAGACGCCAGCAATATTTCTAAGGCATCTGTGGTCAAATACTAGTAGCTTACGAGTGTCTTCTACTCTTAATGGCCATGTTTCGCTGCCGTAAATTAAAACAGAACGGACTGCCGCGCAGTATACTCGTCCTTTTATTGATAGACGGATATCTCGCCTTCGCCATAGGTGACGTAAGTTGGCAAAGCCAAGCGAGCTTATCGAATCCGTGCTGAGATTTCGTCAGACACCAACCCATTAGGGCTGATCAGACATAAGTAAAGGGGGAAGGGGATGTTTGGTTATACGAAATGAAATAGTAATAATAATAGTTCAAGGGCAAGGTAACGATAAGGCATAATTCTCTTGTACACACAGTTCTGGCTTTAACTTATGAATGGCAAGAGCTGCTATTGTTTTAAAGAGTTGGATACGAAATCTAGATAGATTCGGATGAATTGCATAAACAACCTTAAAATCAACCTGTGGATCAGTAGAGTGATTAGAGTCAATTAGATGTTAAAGGATGGAAATTCTAATTGCTTTTGTCTCATCTTTGTAGAACCAAACTGGGACATATTCTCTTATCCAAGTTGAAAGCAAGCGCTGGCTATGGTCTATGTACCTTACTACACAAGAGCAGGTGAACTGGTAGATGCACATAGAGGGGACCAGACGAGGAAGCTTAACCTTTAGAGATACATAAATAGGTTCTTACTAGTGAACGTTACAGTTTTGTTTCATAGAACGTCCTTTTTACTGCTTACGTTAACCGATGGTTTGGTCGACCAAACCATCCAGCTCAGAGAACAAAACTCCACCAAAATCATCCACCTGAGCTACAAATCTCCACCGACACGTTAGAATATCTGATTGTATTCAATACGGACGTTGGTGAATCTTACAGTACATGTTTTTCCATTCTATTAACTAACCGGGGATGTTGAAATATAGTTTTCTCTTACTTGTTGATCCCCTTCCTTGACTTTTTATATTGATTTAGGATAATAGTGGAGTGACAGGGACCCATATTTACTGAAAGCAAACTATTTAATCGGTACTGGGTAATGTTTGGGTTTCAGTGTTTCCGATAATTTGAAAGTCCCAAATAAAATAAAGCCTAATAGCTACAGAAATTGAGTGAATTCGCTCATAACTTATACTAGTACCAAATTGTTTGCTTTCACAATTGTTGTTTAGTTCGTTCTCTCCACTGTTTTAGTGTTTGATGTTTGCAACGTAATATCACAAAAACATTTACGGTTGTTTATCTTACATAGCGATAACTGCTACCTTAGTAGGCGAAATGTCCATCTGCCAGTCAAATGGCCTGTATAGTGCTCATCAATCCGTCCTGTATTAGTTTACGTATGTGAAACTTTAGTTTTTGAGAGCACATGATATGGGTTGGCTACAGGTTTTTGATCATAGGCGTCTTCGAAGCGTTGCTCGAGTTTTGTAGAATGACCGAGTGAGCATTGTTGAGGTTAGGCATAGTGTGGATTACTTAGCACTGGTGGCGTATCGGTTGATGAGTTTGCGAAAACTGATAATTCAAACCCCTCGAGGTATGTTGCTAGCAAACTGAACTTTTCTGGAACCTGGATTCCAAACGGGAAGCACGAGTTTAATTTATGATCCAACAGATTCCATTAAACAAGATAATTGGTAAGAAATATCTGGAAGCCATAATAACATGTTGAAGATAATGGAGATACTACATATATTTTGAAGACGAAGTTATAATATTTGTGGAGAATCACTATTTTTTTATGATTATCCAAATCCCTGATGATGATTTTATGTTCATTCTATCTTATGTTAAATCAAGTTACGATGGTCCAGTGCTTATTATTCGCCGCAGTGATGATGAAGTTATCAGCACTGGGTAAGTGACATTGATTTTGATTATTATTAGAAGTTTGCGGTTTCCAGTGAATGAAAAGCAAAATAAATTTGTTTTTACTGATGTTTCGCTATTAAATATTAATAGTTTTTAATAGTTAAGATCATGAGTCAGTTGAAGCTAGCTTCAATATAAGATCTTATTCTTTACTCCCCCTTCCGTCATCAGTTAGGTTTCTACTATTTTGACCATTTTTATGGTACAAATCAATTTCATCTAAAATTCTTTATTTGTATCCTTGAGCTGATCATATACCATGTTTCCTGCCAAATATTAATTGAATAATGGAATGAAGAGATCTTCGCATCAGTTTAGCATATTCAATACCTAGAACTGTCAACTCAAAATTGTAGTATATGACATGTTTACCGAAGTGTTTCTGGTTTTTATCTACCAGTGATTGTTAGTGTAACAGGTCGCTGTCTGCTTTGATTAAACAAATTTCAAATAGATGAATTGATTCTTTAAAAATTTGAAATTCTGATCCTACCATTATTGTTCAGTGGACGTACTTAACAAGCTTTTAGGTGGTGTTGAGTTAAGTAGCTTAATCATAAAGATGTAATTGTCTTTCTGCACAACATCAGCGTTGACCTTAAGAAGATGTATGTGATTGATGATTTCTTCACAGTCTGGTCGTCTGGGTAAGAAAATGTAACACCTCCAGAATTCTCTTTCTGGACTTTTAATATGTTTGCAACCATTCTTTTTTCCGATTATACGAGTTAATTGTATTTGTAAGGGTTCAAGTTTTCCTGTTGAATGATATCCAATTTTATTGTAGAATTAAATTATTGTCAATCGATTCAGTAGTTATTAATAACTTCTAGTACGTATTTGTTTGTCAATACAAATGCTGAAATAAATATCTGGTAGAATAAAAAAGGAAGTACACTATTTTTAACTATTGTAGCACACTAACTGCTATGATACTTATAGACTAGTTTGAATCCTATATATAGTAAATATTTTAGGAAGTGTTTTAACTGACAATTTTTCAATGTCTCTACATGTTTTGTTCTCTTGTTATAACAGGGACGATCATTCACGTGCAACTAACAGAGGCAATCACTTACTGATTGGTTTATTGAAGCATCGGTATGTTAAAGCGTATAATTCTTGTAGTATTAAATAAAAATACGATTTTTTAGTTCGATTGAATGGGTACATGATCAATGGCTTCCAAATAACTTTTCTTGACATAAGAAAATGACGAAGTCATTTCTGATCAAATTTTAATTGATCGTCATAGTAAGACTAAATACTGGTTTGCAGTAAGTTTTGTTTATCAGCTGTTATTCGAGCTTTGTATGTTTCAATATCTGACTAAACATTTCTACTGTCCATAAACTTAAATAGAAACATGAAAAATGAGAAAAGGTGTGTATTTCTTCTGCTAGTTAGGAATTATTGTCGCTAAATATTTTCCTCGTTACTGATTAAATTACGAAAAAGTAACAAATTTGTGTGATTCAGTATATTTCTCATTTAATAATTACTTAGAATCGAAAGCAATATTTCTTTGTTATTGAACTTACACCATGTATTTTAAATTTTACTTAATAATCGTAGAAGATAATATCAATGTTATTTGTGAAATCAGTAAGTGATATCAATTTGTCGGAAAGATAAGTAGATGGGTATGGTTATGTAAAATAACTTAATGGCTGAATTATCCTAAGTTCCACATTGAATCTTTCAAGAAGTAACTACACTGAAAATAATGACGATTTTATAAATTATGTCCTAATCACAGTTATTTGCGAGGTATTACTTAGTCATTTACAGACCCTTACAATAAAATAGTAATTCAGTTATTGTAAACTATCAAGCAGACGATTTCTGCTTCAGATCGTTTTAACTTATTCTGCCTCATCCAATTTTTCATATATTCATTATAAAAAAAACACAAAAGTTATGAATGAGTTGATGAAAAATGATAGAGTAGTCCCATTAAGACTTGTTAAATGTTCCATAATAGTTTTCTTAAATAAACAATACTACCTCTCAAAAATTTGATAGTTATTATATAATAATGATTACTTCACTATAGAAGAACAGAACAAACATATGATATTGTACTAAGAAAAAGATTAATCAGCATCTGAACTGGCTAATGAAAGAGAAATCATATATGAGAACAGCGCATTTAAATAAATATAAACATTATTCTTATTAAGGAAACTGATACTAACTTAGCTGTTGAGAGCTTGAATATTCATCGTGGAAATATATAAGGAATTGTACTTGGAAAGGGAATGCTCAGCGTGATAAGATTTTGAAATTAAAATGAGCTGTAATCAGGAGAATCATAGAAACAAAAACAAATCAATTTGCAGGTAAAAGGTCAATAGTGAAGATAGAACTGAATTCTTTTGCATAAAGCAAGCGTCGAACGACCTATATACCTCACTCTACTTGAAAAGGTAAATTGTTAAATGTACATGGAATTGGTCAAATAAGAGTTTTGTTAAATTGTTACTGAATATTGGTCAGCTTGATGACAATAACAGCAAGGTTAAGCGAAGAACGTTCTATTGAGAGAGTAGGAAATTCTGCTTTTCATGATGCTTGCTGTTAAATCACCTTTGAAATTAACGTTCATATAAAGAATTTTCCTTGATGTAGAGACTATTTGTACTTAAGGAGGTTTGAGTTTTATTTTCTCATCAATTACCGATGGATACCTGTTTTTGATAAGTATCTTCGGGAGGTTCATTTCGTTCTCTGTAAGATTAGAACAATAAATTCTTAGTATTTGTGTATCGAGCGGTATAATTAAATTACGCATCCAACTAATGAGGACTCAGCTGTGATGTGGGGCTTTTTTTCCGAATGTCCTACTAGAAGAGGCCGTTGATACTAAATACGGTGACGATGACGGTGTTGATTTTCCGATAAGAAACCAAAAGTATTACTGCTGTTATGCATAAAAATATGGGTATTTCCAACTATCATGGACAAGCTGATGGTTCATGTATTTCTTAGGCTGGACTAATTTTATACAAGTATATATATATATATATATATATATAGAGAGAGAGAGAGAGAGAGAGAGAGAATTACTTGGCCAAATGAATGTTTTCTTTTCGTTGTTATTTTCTATGGTGCTTCTTGAAAAATAACCGTGGGAAGAGACTTTTATAAATTATATAATTACTAATTATTATCAGTCGTTACCTTACAGTGGTAATTTATGCCATTTCATGGAAATATATGGGTGTTTTGTTTGTTATAGATTTCCGTATCTGATGACCGTAGAAAATGAATCCATCCTCAATGCATATTTATCACTTAGCGCTGAAGAACAAAGTAAGCCATGTCCATATGAATATTTTCGTTATTTGATTCCACTTTTTAATAATATTTAATGTACTAAGACTGTTGCCTGATATTGACTAGACCAAGCGAATTGTAAATTAGCTGGTGTCTTGTCATACTACGAAATCAAACTAACGTTATCAAATCAACCTTGAACTCTCAAGTAGGAGGTGTACATATATGTGTGTAAATTGTATATAATAACTAGTCTGTGTGACCTGTAAAATGTTTCTCTTTCATTCCGCTCTGGTGTCATTCGCAATTTTGTGTTCCCAATTATTAACCAGTAGAACAAGCGTGTCATTGGTCACGTAAAGATATTTTTCACCAGATTGTACTTTTTTTTAACGAAACCGTTAACCTATTTCTCACTTTTATACTTACCCTATCCATGCTTTTTCACTCACTCACTCTCTCTCTCTCTCTCTCTCCTTGTGCAATAATTAGTTTATCTTCTGTGATAATCGCGTATATTGTTTTCCTATGGTTCCTACACGTTGGAATTCAGTTTACAAAGAGTTATGATATTCATATTTTATCTTGTTCTTTTTCTATAAAAAAAATTATACAAAAACTATGTATTGCACATTTTTGTAAGTTGTTAGTTGATAGACATTTTGGCATTAATATTCATTGTACCATATAAAGTAAATAAATAGTGACAAGTATGGAGTCTAAATTGATTTTTCATTCTAGCGATATTTATCATTGAAAGAAGTTCCAAAAGAGCCTATCAATTGTACATAAGGTTATTTCACTTGTGGTCATGGTTAAATTTAGGAAGATTCTTGACGATATTTTTTCTCCGTTTCCATCTTATATTGACGTGAATGTGCTCCAGAAGATAAAATAATTTTCCGTCCGATCTGCCATTATAATTCTTTTTTAAATATAGAAATTACTTATTTTTAAGTGTATTTTTTTTCACTAACCAGATTTAATTAATTGTTATTAACGTATTGTCATAACCATTATTTCCTATAATCTATGATTGTTTTGTTTACTTATATACATATTTCTCATTAGGAAATACATTTAATGAACTTGATTATAATCCAGAGGAATATGGGAAACTAGTCGTAAATTTTTTAAAGGCTGAAGCACTTGAAAAACAAATCGAATCAATGCCTTTATACCCGTCAAAACTTGGTAAAGAAATTAGTGAAACTGATGTTCAGAGAAATATGCTTTTTTATATAGTAAGTATGATCGTTATATTATGGTTGGTAATTTAATGCATTATATTTATCAAGTACAAGTCAATACATCCGACTTTGAGTTATGTTTACTTTTTAATAGCTAATGGTGATGCCCAAGTAAATGGATACTTTATTATTATTTAAACACGGTAATATTGGTATAATGATGCACGAATATGTATGTGCCACACTTCATCATTCGATTTTTGTGTTAAGACCTTTCTGAAGTATTTTGTTCCCTTCAGAATTGATCTTGTGTCCTGTTTCCAATGCATGTAACGCTATCGTCGACCTATTCTCAAGTTTCTTTAGATCAACCAAGGATTCGGGAACATTTTTCGAATGTTGTTTGTGTTCCTTCAACCTCACATTCGATTGCTTTGAAGCTTCGCTCACATACGCAGCATTACAATCACGACAACTGATATCATAGACAATATTCTGTTGTTCTTCCTCTGGAAATCTTACACTTTTTTTCCTTCATATAAAAACAAATTAACACCGAATATCAACTCTTAATAATTCAATTTTACACATACATACATACACACAATTGTTTCAGTCATTTATATTCACATCGTGAACTTTTCACATGGTTCACATTTAACTGACTCATGTTCTCCTATTTACTAAAGTCAACATCTAAATATGACTGAATTAGCACAGTATAGATTTGATTTGATTGTAAGACTCTATCTATTTCTTTGATGGTCTTGGTTTCGATTACTATCGTGAGGAAGTTCAGACAAGTTTGCTGGACGAAACGGAATTATTTGAATTTCAGTCTCTGAGATTATTTCGAATGAAATTCTCACATATAATGACTAGAAGCACATGATTTTCATAGGAGGCCACTCCTGAGCTTTTAGCCTACATGTCTAGTCCACAAGTTAGTGGAGCAACGTTAGGAGATGCAGTCCCATGGTAGACAGTGACCAACAGTATGTTTATACACCATTTATTCCCTCAGGATCCTGGAGCCCATGTTCACCATTAGTTTGGAATCAGGGTTTCCCAATTCGTTTAGATGAATCCTCCGTGTCCACCAACCGGTTTCAAGAGTCGGACATTCGCTTTTCGTGTTGTTAATTTCGTAAAGAACACCGGCGCCACGTGAAGGCAGTGAGTAGGACTTCGGTGGCAGTAGCTGTATACATGTGTCCATTTGAGAGCATTTCGAGAGGGAAAGCTGACTCTCCACACCCTCGATCATACCATAGCATTTGAGGGCAAATGGATACAATTTCTGAACATATCAGTTAATGTTGGATATCTTCATTACATAGCTTTTAATGTTTTCATTTATTTTGTCTGTAGTTCTTTGTACTTTTTTTGGGAATCGATAAATATCTAAAAAACAAGTTAATTAAATTTTTATACTATTTCCTTTAGAACTCATATTTTAAATATCAAGTCAAATGGTTTATTTTCAGTCTGGTTGCAAATTCTTTCTCTTTTATAATGTAATGATAAGTTTCACATATTGTATATAGTTTGAAGTTGAATTCGACTGCTAAACTTTTTTAAATGTTCTTAGATTTCATCATTCTGATCATATTTATTTACTCATCATTTGTATATTGTGCATGGAAAGAAGACTTGAGTTCACTTGGTCAGACATCTGATTATTTATAATGACAATCGATTGTTGTTTAAAGTGTAATTTCACAAGCACAGTCTATCAAACAAGAATGACTTTTTTTTAAAAGGAAATCTGCTTTGAATGAATTCATTCTGGAAGTTATTAAATGAAAAGTATGGTGATAATTACATTTATAGATAAAGTCAAGTTATTTAATATCCATGGTTTTGACGTAAAAGGTGTAAATACGCGTTTAAATCCATTTGGATATACTTTTAAAAAGATGACTAAATTTATTATTCATGCAAGCGGAAATCATTTATTAAGCTGCTTATCAAAAAATACATACCATTTTTAAAGATTTACTCAATCAGTTTTGTTTATTATTCGGATAAAAAGATTTTTGTTTGTTATTTCTTTCCTAGGTATCCAAATATTTTATTGAATCTCCCGGTTCACATTGTACTCCTTTGGCAGGTAAATATCTACAACCACCATGGTCACCGCTAACTCATTCGTTCATTGAGTCTTCAGAAACTGATCTAGACTGTAAGATTGTTGACTAGTAATACGCATCCAGTACAAGCTTTCTCAAAAAGTGATATTTAATAATATAACATTTTTTCTGATTATATATATACATATATATGTTACCGTCACATTTTGTTTTGTTTTGTTCCCTAAGGTTAGTTCACTTTTTCTTCCTGTAATAACACACAGTTGTATTCAGAATTATTCTTTGTTAATTTGTTTTGTTGCTTGTTTACTTTTAAGTATTTTTTCCTGTGTATATCATAAGGTTATATGCTATTTTTAAAATTATTACTAACTGTAAAGACAGAGAGAGAAAACATGATATGTAATATATGCATTAATGTTTTTTTCGTGGTGAATGTTTACAATTATGCGTTTTACTTGTTAGATTACGGTAGTTATATATGAATAGTTTATAGATTAGGCTAAGTTATTATTTATGCTCTGAAATTGTTGTACAACTAGTCTCATACGGTCTGTTTAAGTACTCTAAATCTCTTCTCAATTTATTTTACATCAGTCGAAATGCAGTTCGTTTCAGGTAGCTATGATAAAGAGTAGAAAACTTGTTCTAGGTATATAAATTGTTAAACGACGACTATTTGATCTAACACCTTGTCATCTACTTGAAATCCGTGCACTGTTTATTTCGTAACTCCAAGTTATAAGTAATGACCTAAGGACTGATATTCAAATATGATCAGTTTTGTATTTTCAACCTGCAATGTCCCATGTCACTTGACCATATTGAGAAAAGCAGATTTAAATATAGATCACACATATAACTCCGTTTAGAAAAAAATACGTTAACGACCCTAATGGGTTGATGTTACGATCTTTATGTTGCATTTTTCGAGCCTTATCGATTCTTGGATCCAGATTTCCTACTACATCAAATGATTTGTCCTGCGTTTTGCTAATTTATCTAAGACTTAATTGTGTCTGGTGAACATAATATATGTCAAGCATGATAATTCCAACCTTCCGTTGTTAGAACTCTTTATTTGTGACATAAAGTTGATTGGTACTGCAATGCACCATACAGAATGAAACAATGACTACATTCTGAAGAAATACAAGAGAAAAGTATTCCAAATAAAAAAATATTAACACGTCAAGATGGTTTTAACTGTTAAGAAACAAAATGACTTTCAGTCCTTAATACCCATATATGATTAATAGGCTAATAGAGACATGTTTATGTCAAACTCATACAAATTTTATCACTCAAGTAGACAAATTATTTGTCTAAAAACATTTCATGGTCTAAAAATACAAGTTATATCAGTTTTACATATTTCTGGTAGTTGAAATCCTTCCAGATCATATATTCTCGGTCCGTCAGTAACAAAATTGAAAAACAGCTGTTGAGT